ATAGAGGGGAAGTATCACCTCCTTGGACCTATTCGTCATGCATCTGCTGATGCACGATAAAGTGCCATTGGCTTTTCTGATGGCTTCGTCACACTGCCGACTCATGTTCATCTTGGAGTCCACTAGGACTCCAAGATCCCTTTCCACTTCCGTGCTGCCCAGCAGGTCATTCCCTAGGCAGTAGGTGTGCTGGACATTTTTCCTCCCTAGGTGCAGCATTTTGCATTTCTCCTTGTTGAACTGCATTCTGTTGTTTTCTGCCCACTTGTCTAACCTGTCCAGGTCTGCTTGCAGCTGTTCCCTGCCCTCTGGCGTGTCCACTTCTCCCCATAGCTTTGTGTCATCTGCAAAATATGCACAAGACGAGCAGTGTGCCCGGCCAGTACATAAATACCACGTAGAGGTCCTTTGCTTGAGTGTCCGTCAGCAACCTTGGATATCGGGGGTGGGGAGGCTGATGCCAACTTGTTCTGAAAACTCCTCCTTTTGTATTCCTGAAGATGACTCTTCATTTCTGGGTACCATTGATTGGTTTCCTTGTGACTGTCATGCTGTCCATGCTCTGTTTTGTCAGCCAAAATCCTGTCTTCGTAAACCCAGCACATGTACACACCTTAATTCGGTCATTTCATTCCAAACTGGAAATCCCAAGGGTTTGGGGGCACTGTAACCTTGCAGTCCCAGATCTAGCTCTATTATGAAATTAAATTAAGATATTTTTAATTTCCCGGGTGTATGCCCCTTGGCCTCAGACACCCTGTCTGCTTTGAAGGCTGTGAAATGGTGTGACAAACAGGCTTTGAGAAATCAATTAATCCTGGCCATTCCCCTGCACCATTGTCCTAATGCAATTTTCTACTTTACCTACAAGCCAATTCCTAAAAACAAACCTCTAAATATCGTTTTCTAGCCATCAGTCCAGAGGCTGCTCCTATGACCCCTTTATCCTCAGACCTTTGCTTTGCCACACTTTACACAGATGCTCAGTGTTGCCAGGTCTTAAATATGAAATTATTACATTGGAAGTTTAAAATGATCACATTTGCTGAAAAACCTTTGTACACTGAAAAATATGCAAATAAGTATGCAAATAAATCATCTTTTTACTTTATATTGCTCACTGTAAGTCAGCAGTGAGTGAAAACTGGGTCATGAAAGTTGAAGCATTTCTCTATTTCCAAGCAAGCAGTCATAAGGAAGTACTGACAGCAAACCCAAAAGTTAGTTAGGACTCCCTGGGTGCATCTACATGTCACAGTCTGTGGTGACATAGCGAAGTGCTATTCAGCATGCTACAGCAACGTAGCAATCATGCAGGTCTACGTGTGATGGCTAGCTATGTCACCGTGCTGTAGCATTGCACTACCTGGTTATAGCGCACAGCTACAGCAACGTAGTGGGGAAATCTAAGCGTGCGCTGCCTGTACAGTGCCGTACGGGTGGTTACTGTGCCATGCGTATAGTGAAGAGCGGGAGAGTTTGGCAGGAGCACAACAACAAAACAGAGAACCCCGTGGACCACTTCAGACACCCGCCCGTTTTCTCAAACACACACACAGGGTTGTTAAGCCTCTATGTCCTACCAACTACCTTTACAGATTTAAGGAAAACCAAGGAGTTAAATTCCTCTGGAAATTGGCCTACTGCCCAGCTGGGCCCAGAAGTTCAAACTACCAATGAAAACTTCACACACACAAATGTAAAGTTAACAAGTGTATTATGACAAGAAAACAACAAGTACTATAACAACAAACACAAACCTTACAGTACTATAAAACTATAGAAACAATATACTGTTAAAGAACCCAACAGTAGTCTATCACCCGAGGTGGCAGACTATATCGCCCTAGAGAGCTGAGAGGCAGGGAGACTGCTGACAGCCTGACACCCCAGAGGATTTCTATGCTGTTCCCTCACACGCAGGTGGTTACTGAGCACCTCAGTAAAGGAGGAGTGATACTTTACCCAGCCGCCACCATGCGAAGAAGCAGGTGCATGGCTGGCAAGTACCCAGGTGATACGGACCCTCCACTGTTGCTTCGCGAGTGCTGCCCCAACACACCCTGTTCTCACTCACTCAGCAAATCACCACTAAACTCTGGGTTCTAGCTAGTCACAGACACTCAAACTCTAGAGCAATGGTACACTAATTACACTCGCACGCTCCGTCAAGCAAAAGATGGAGAGAGGACACGACAAGGCAAGTCTTGGCAAGCCCTTCAATCCCCAACGATGATGACCACGAAAGCCACTATAGACCCCAAAGCAAATACTGACCCTGCACTGGACAGTCTTTTATAATGGCCAAATCACACTACCTGCCCATTGAATGGAGACCCAATCATTAATCTCTGATCACTGTCAATCACAGTCAATCACAGTAAGGACCATAAAAATCAAACTATCATCATAACCCATACTAACTCATTAGCATAACGGTCCTGTCATGTTCCCCTGGTTACCAAACAAACAACGGGGTCTCAAACAAACAACTCACTGCACATGCTCAGCTCTTAAAAGTAGGTCATGACATCATTGAGGTTAGAAGGTTAGATGTACCAGAAGGCTCCAACCTCTAGTCATCCCATGCATGTATAAATACACCAGGACTCCCCTGTCTACATTAGGACTTCCAAAAGGACACCTAGACATTAAAAACAGGCAAACTTTATGACTGCTTGCCTGCTTCAACTTCCAAAAGGAAGTACTAAAACAGCACAGTAACATTGCCATACTGCAATGTGTAGACGCGCCCACTGAGAGCGACTTGGGATTTGCATATGTTGCATCAATTAACTGCCTCAAAAATCATTGTACATTTTGCTGGGTTTTTGGTTGTAGGCATGTTGATCTAAGGACACAGGCAGGCAAAGTTCTTTGAGAAGATGAGATGTCTTTTATTATACCAACTGAGTAGGTGGAAAAAAGTTCTTGGCAGGTACGGGAAAGGGAAGAAAGCAGGGTGGGGGAAAGGCCAAAGGGAGGATAAAATACAAGGTAGAAAAGAGGCTGTCTGTGAAAGAGGAAATAGTTGGAGATCAGCAAAACAGGAATGACAAGCTAGAAGTGTGACAGGATGTCAGTGAAAATATAAATAGGTAGAAATTAGAAAAACAAAAGGTAAATCAGGAAAAGAAAACCCCCACAAATTGCACACCATTAGTTATTACATATCACCATTCCCTGGAACCTACATGGTTTTCTTTTCCTGCTTTACCTTTTGTTTTTCTCATTTCTACCTATTTATATTTTCACTGACATCCTGTCACACTTTTAGCTTCTCACATTCCTGTTTTCCTGATCTCCAGGTATTTCCTTTTTCACAGACAGTCTCTTTTCTACCTTGTATTCTATCACTGTAATGTCTCCCTTTGCCCTTTCCCCCTCCCGCTTTCTTTCCCCTCCCTTCCCTGCTTTACCTTTTATCTGTCTAATTTCTACCTATTTATATTCTCACTGACATCCCGTCACACTTCTAGCTTCTTTCATTCCCTGGAGTCTCAGACCAGCAGAGACTCCGCTGCCTGAAGAAGGGTGACTGCGCCCGAAATCATGCACAGACCTTTTTTCCAACTACAGGCAACCCCTGATTAACGCTGTTTTGCTTTTTTGCTGTAATGCTCATTTTATATTGATACGATTTCACTTAGTGCTCAGCGAGTTTTGTTATAACGCTCGCGGTTGCCATCTTGGGTCATTAAAAACACTTGGGGTCACCATCTTGGTCAGATCATCAAATACTTTCGGTTTCACGTAACGCTCGTTTCGCTTAATGCTCGTTTTTTCAGGAACCAGTTAAGAGTGCTAAGTTGGGGTTTGTACTCATGTGGTCTAATAAAAGATACCACATCTACCCACTTGCCTGCCTGCACCCCTAGATGGCTACAACCAAAAACCCTTGTACATTTTAAGCCCTTTTCCTATTATTGATCCTACATGTACAAGTTGAAATTATCGTATAAATGATTTGTCGTACACCTGGCAACACTGTAGATGATGCAAGGAATTTATTAACCCAGGGTTTTCAACCTTTTTGGGTCAGTGTACAACCAGCAGGCAGTCCACGAGCAGGGGGGGCACTGGCCAGTGTGCTAGTGGCATGGCAGCGGCACCTGCTGCTGAGTCTCCCCCGAGGCCACCCCAAGTACCCCCAGGGGTAGTGTACTAATTAACCGTGTCACAAATTCGGGGCACAGGGGGCAGCCCTGTGCCCAGCCCAGCGCCGCCCTGCGCCAAGGCCGCACAAAAAACCGGTGGGGCGGGGGTCGCTTGGGAAAGCAGAGGAAGGGGCGGCTAACTGGACTCCACATCCCGACCCCAACCCCTCCCCCAACCACCTCTTCTGACGTCACCCCGCGCTCCCCACCGCTCATTGGTCACTCCTGCGGATCTCACTATCCTCACTCCATCCCGCCCGCCAATCAGCGCGGGGCGGTAGCGCTCCGGCTCCTCCGCAACCCACGCCTGACGGTAAGCAGGTCTCGCACGCGAGACAGGCCGCGCAACGGTCCCGCAGCGGCCAGTGGCGGCGGGCCTTTCAGGAGCGGCGCTACGAAGCTGGGCTGTCTGCTGGGAGGGGTTGTTGGTGTGTCGCCGCTGCTGCTGCTGCCGCCGGCTGGCGTGGGTTGGCTCGCGACGCCGCTCGGGTGAGGGGAGGTGAGGCCCGGCGGGGACGGGACGGGACGGGACGGGACGGGAGTGGGGGTCTCGCGCCGCTGCAGCTCGGCCTCCCTTCTGCCACGGACATTGCTGCGCTTTGCTGCTTCCTCCCCCCTGCGGTGTTGGCGGCAGCCGTGAAGGGCAGCGATTCTCTGCGCTGTGCACTGGGGACGCCGCATCTGCAGCCCTGGGCCCAGTCGTGGCCCCCGCTGCAGAAAGGGTGGGGACGCAGAGGGCGGCGGCACGTGGCTACTGGGGGGAGTCTGGGGGACCTGGGCTTGTTTAGCGCGGGGGGGATTTGACCTGAAGCGGTGTTACATCGAGATTGGAGCTCCACTGTTCTCAGTGCTGACACGACAAGGAGCCATGGTCTCTAGTTGCAGCAGGGGAAGCTTAGGTTAGATATTGGGGTGGCAAAACACTGGGACAGGTTTCCCAGAGAGGTGATGGAAGCTCCATCTTTGGAGGGTTTTAAGACCCAGCTAGACAGAGCCCTGGCTGGGATGGTCTAATTGGGAATGGTCCTGCTTTGAACAGGGGGTTGGACCAGATATGACCTCCTCAGGTCCCTTCCAACCCTCACTTTCCGTGATTCTGTCAGGCCGTATTTAAGCCTCCCCAGAGGCACTGGGGACTTCAGCCAGGCTGTGCCAGTTCTCCTGCGAGGAGCAAAGCTGGAGAGGCTCCTGGCTCAGGGGTCTTGCAGCTGTACTCGGTGTCAGACCGATTGCTGCATTTGGGGTTTTTACCCTGTGGTCAGTCAGACTGTAGGGACTGTGGCTGGGGGGTTGCCTTCCTTGTATGCCTTACCATACAAATGGTATGTTGACACGGTTTCATAGAAGCAGGACCTTGGCTGCCTTTGGTCCCGTGCTTTACCTGTGGTAGGTTTGGGTGTTAGGTCTGTATTGTGTCGGGTTTGAGGATATCCTTACGTAGAGCTTGGATTGAGGATGTATGGGATGGTTTGGATAGGGATGATTCTGCCTTGGGTCAGACTGGAGGTCCCTTCCAGCCCCACTTCTCTAGGACAGCCTTGTTTACACAAGGCGTAGTTAACTGCAATTTTCTGTGGCAGGAGGACATCCATGGCCAAGTGTGAAAAAGGGACTGGATAAATCATAGAAAATGAGGGTTGGAAGGGCCCTCAAGAGGTTTTTTCATAGACTTTAGGGCTGGAAGGGACCTCAGAAGATCATTGAGTTCAGCCCCCTGCCCCAGGGGCAGGAAGTTAGCTGGGGTCAAAGGATCCCAGCAAGATAAACATCCAAATGTCTCTTAAAGGAGTCCAGAGTAGGTGCTTGCACCACCTCTGGCAGCAGTCTGTTCCAGGCCTTGGGGGCTTGGACAGTAAAGAAGTTCTTCCTTTTGTCCAGCCTGAAATGGTCTTGGAGGATTTTTTGACTGTTTGACCTTATTCATCCCTTGGGGTGCTCTGGTGAACAGGTGTTCCCCCAGATCCTGATGTACACCCCTTATGTACTTATAGGCTGCCACCAGGTCCCCCGTGAGCCTGCGCTTTTCCAGGCTGAAGAGTCCCATAGCTCTCAGCCTCTCATCATAAGGCCTGTTCTGCCCTCTGATCGTGTGTGTGGCTCTCCTCTGGACTCTTTCAAGCTTCTTTTCAAATTGTGGAGCCCAGGATTGGATGCAGTACTCCAGCTGCGGCCTCACCAAGGCAGAGTACAGCGGGAAGATGACATCCTGGGATTTGCTTGAGAAGCATCTATGGATGCAAGCCAGCGTTTTTGCCTGCTTTACCAGCTGCAACATCGCATTGGTGGCTCATATTCATCTTGTGGTCAGTCATGACCCCTAAGTCCCTTTAGGCCATGGTGCTAACAAGCATAGCACTGCTGAGCCTATAAGCATACTGCAGGGTATTTTTCCAAGGTGGAGTACCTTGCATTTTTCAGTGTTGAACGCCATCAGGTTTACATCCGCCCATTTTCTGAGCCTGTCTAGGTCAGCTTGGATCACCATCCTGTCCTCGGGTGTGGATGCTCTACCCCAAAGTTTGGTGTAATTGGCGAACTTGGCCAGTTTGCTTCTGATACCAATGTCCAATAAATAAAGATGCTAAAGAGTATAGGCCCAAGGACAGAGCTTTGGGGGACCCCATTGGTCATGGCACACCACAATAATTTACTTCCGTTGACTACCACTCTCTGGGTCCGACCTCGGAGCCAGTTCTCCAGCCATCATCGGACTGTGATGTAGCTGAGGCTGCAGTTGGCCAATTTTTCCATGAGGTGATCATGGGACACCAGATTGAAGGCTTTTTTAAAATCAAGATATATGACGTCAATCTCTTCTCCCTTGTCCAGGTAATATGTCACCTGGTCGTAGAAGGAGATGAGATTTGTCGGGCAAGACCTACCCGCAACAGACCTGTGCTAGCTATCCCTCAAGATGTTGCCATTAGCCAGTTTGTCAAGAATGGTCTCTTTGATAATTTTTTCCAAAATCTTCTCTGGGGTAGAGGTCAGGCTGATAGGCCTGTAGTTTCCTGGATCTACTTTCCTCCCTTTCTTGAAGATAGGCACCACATTAGCCTTCTTCCAATGTTTGGGCACTTTACCTGAGCGCTACGAGTTCTTGTAGATCCATGCCAGTGGCTGAGCTGTGATGTCTGCCAGTTCCTTAAGTACCCTGGGGTGCAAACTGTCTGGGCCAGCTGACTCGAAGGTGTCCAGCCTCTCAAGGTGTTCCTTCACATGGTCTATATTGATGAAAGGTAACCATTCTTTGCCCTTGCGGTCCCGTACTATATTGAGCAGGGCCGTCCCTTGGGGCTGGTGAAAAACCGATGCAAAATACCCATTAAGCAGGTTGACTTTTTCCCGGGTGTTGATTGTCAGTTGTCTCATATAGTTTAGCAGGGGTCCAGTGTTACCTTTGGTTTTCCTCCGGCTCCCCACATATCTAAAAAAGGACTTTTTATTGTCTTTGATACGTGTAGCCAGTTGGAGTTCAGTCACAGCCTTGGCTTTCCTGGTCTGCTCCCTACAGGTCTGGACCAGTGCAGAATACTCCTCCTTTGAGGTGGATCCAGTCTTTCCATCCTTTCTAGGTCTTTCTTTTTAGATGCAAGAGGTCCACTAGTTCCCTGCAGAGCCAAGGGGGCTACTGTGCCCTTTTGCTGCCTTTCGTCCGAGACAGGATAGACATTGTTTGTGCTTCCAGGGTCGCTCCCTTGAGGAGCAACCACTCATCCTGAACTCCCCTCCCCTTTGGACTGTGGTCCCTTAGGGCCTTGCCAACAAGCCTTCTGAGCTTGTCAAAGTAAACTTTCCCGAATCAAAGACTTTGGCATTGCTGACTGACTTGGTAGCTTTACGGTAGATGGTGAAGATGATTAGCTCATGGTCACTGTCTCCCAGCTTCCCTTCGATCATTAGGTCATCTAATCCAACTCTCGGCTCAAAGCAGACCACCCCCAACTACATCCATCCCTGGAGGACGGATCTGTTCATGGCTAGTGAAAAAAACAGAGACGTTTCCTCTGGCATCTCCAACACACCAGTAAATGGTGGATGCCAGGGAGGGTGTTGAACAGGGATACCCAGTTCATTGACTTTTTGTATAGCTGGCATTGACTTAAGTGGCTGACACAGGCCGGTTTGTTGTTTTCAAGGGATCGGGGGCTGTTGCCCATCAAGAAGAACTATAAACCTCTGTTAGAAACGCAAACCACTGAGAAAGTAACAACTGATTCCTTGGGATAAAAGAAAGGCAAAACAGGAATGGGAGTGATGGTCAGAGGTTTAAAATGAGTGCCCCAAGCAGGGACACCAAGCAGAGTACGCTGGACAGTGCCTACTTGCCTTCCAATGGTGCCAAGGAACCAGTGGACACTGCCCAGTAAAACTGCCCAGAAATGTGCCATTCTGGAACGTGGGCCAAAGCCCACCAAACAGAGCTATAAAAGCCTGCCTTGATGAAGGAGGCTACTAAAGGCCTGTCATTGATTGATTGGGATAACTAGAAGGCAGAATGGGACAGGAGTGATAGTCAAAGGTTCAAAATGAGTGCACTGAGAGGGGACACCAAGCAGAGTATACTTGACAGTGTCCAGTGGCCCTCAAATGAGTCCAAGGAGCCAGTGGACACTGCCCAGTGAAACTGCTTGTATGGAACAGTGTCCAAGATGGCTGCTGATCTTGAGCCTGGCCCAGAGAGCAGAGGTGGATAGGTAGGCAGGCTAACGCTTCCCTACCTGCTTCTTCAGAACCAAGAGTAGGGGCAGCCACAAGCAAGCAAGAGGGGGGTGGAGAGAGGGGGAGTGGACAGTGAGTGGGGATCTGGGGTGCTGGGGAGGGTTGGGGAAGCAATGGTCCTGATTTGGGCCAGCAGGGGAGGCAGATGGGGTGTTTACAGTAAGGTGTAGCTTGAAGTGGTTATACCTTTAGCCTGAGCTGGGTAACATGGATCAGAGATAATCCTGTCCTGGAGTGGTATTGTATTAAGCTGCCTGAGTGCTGAAAACTAGTTTTAGGTGTTAATTTGAGAACAATCCAGGATCCGCCCAGAATCGCTGTGTAGCAAAGTCCTTACATGCACTGAAAGGATTTGCACCAGCTGGTACTTTCAGTACAGAGGTACCTAATAGGCCAACCCGTATGTAATAGAGAAGAAAGGAACATGTCTGAAACCCTTTTTCATGGAATTGCAACTCTAAACTGACCCAAGCCCTTTCCTAGTTTAAGCATCAAAGTTGTTTTTGCCTTTTTCAGGTGTTACTGGAGAAGAAATGGGTACAGCTCATTTTTTTTACATAATAGCTCAGTGCAGTGTTTTTCAAGCTGTGTTCTGTGGAACCCTGGTGTTCTGGAATAGGTTATCAGGGGTTCTGCAAAGAGATTGGGAGGCCTGGGTCACCTGCAGGCCTGGGTCACCCTCGCAGTAAGGGCTGACTTGAAGCCATGGAGGTGCAGGGGTAGGGGTTCCATGGCAGAAGCGATACAAAAGGCTTCCAAACCTTTCAAAAGTTTGAAAACCACTGGCTTAGTGGCTAGAGCATTAACTTAAGAAGTGGGAGACCTGGTGTTAGCATCTTTCTCAGCTGAAGGAAGGGTTTATATATGCCTCTTCCACTTCTCAGGAGAGTGTCCTAACCAGTAATCTAGAGCAAGGCTGGGGCAGGAACATAGCATTTCCTGTGAATAATAAGCAAGAAGGAGCATGACTGTAGCTAGTGGTCAGGGCAGTCTTTCAGAGAGGAACAGTCCTCACTTTCCATCTCCAGTAAAATGTATGCATATTTATTCAAAGATCATGTAGTGTAAAATATAGACATAAAATACATATTTCTGTAATGTATTTATATAATAGGAGCAGGAACACGCCTCTTCAGAACCTGGGACACACCTCTTCACTTGAGTGACATCATCATCTGGAAATTATATTGTCTCTCTGGCCTTCTGACTCTTGCATTCCTTACTATACCGTAGCAGAGCTTCAACAGGAGGGAAGGAGAGTACCTCTGTTTTAGCCTTGGCTCTAATCTGGTAGTTAAGGCATTCAGAGACCAGGATGAGAGCCCTTCTTGGCCTTTGTGTGTTTTAACATTTCCCTAGATTATTTTGAGGATGCTACTCGCTTTAAAAACAAATAATTTAACTATTTAAAGCAAGAGGCCCTGAGTGCTGCATATTTTACTGAACCCACAAGCTGACAATGTTGGGCCAGCTTGGTTTCACTGAAGTCCTGCACTTGGGACAGAATAATTGCACGTGCAAATACAGACCAGGAAATGACTGACCAGGCTGCAGTACTGCAGACACGGACCAGGTTATAGTAGATCTTAAACTGAATATGAGCCAACAGTATGATCTTGGCAAAAAAAATAAAGCTAATTGTATACTGGTTTATATTAACAGAAATGTCACTTGCAAATCAAGAGAAGTGATTCTTCCTTTCTTTGGCTCCGTTGAGGCCTCACCTGGAGTACTGTGTCCTGTTTTGGGCCCTATGATTCAAGAAAGATGTGGGCAGATTGGAAAGAGTTCACCAGAGAACAACAAAAATGATTAGCAGCCTGGGAAGCACGGTGTATAAGGAAAGGCAGAAAGAATTAGGGTTATTTAGTCTGGAATACAAGATTGAGAGGGGATTTGATAAGTCTTCAAATACCTACAGAGTGATTATAGAAAGGATGGGGAGAGGTGTTGTTTTTTTTTTTTCCTCTGTGGGTGTAGGGGGCAGAACTAAGAACAATAACCTCAAGATGTAAATTTAGGTTGGACATTGGAAAGAGCTTTCTGACTACAAAGGTGGTGAAGTATTAGAAAAGGCTCCCTAGAGAAGTTATGGAATCTCCATCCTTGAAAATTTTCAAGAGCTTTGCTGGACTTGCCTTGAATGGGGGGTGGTCTAAATTACCTCATGAGGTCCCTTTTATGCCTATTTTAGTTCCTGTTGGCTTACTGAATTGGGTACCTTGAAGGACATAGGTATAGGGTTGCTGGCAACAACCTGCCATTTATGGGCATACAGAGCAGTAGCAGTCTAGATATGGAAAGGTCTTCACTGACAAAACCTGGGGTTGTTTGAAGTCTTTTATGTAGGTGCCTAAATTAGGCTTCAGGCCTATTTTTAGGTCTTGAATTTTCCTGAGGTTTTTAGAATTTGCCTGATAGAAGTTTTCATTAAGGATTCCCTGAAGTAATTTATAGCAATATCAGTTATAAGAAAATCATGGGCTGGGGTTTGTCCTTTTACTTTCTATTGCCTTTAGCTGACTTCAAGTTAAGTAGCCAGGGTGAATCTTCTGGCTCTATTTACTTCCTAGGTTTTGTATTTCCAATAGCCATATACATTTCTATAATTTCCTTTTAAGTGCTTAAATTTATTGAATGTGTCTGTTGAATAGATTAAATGACAACTTGATGCTATTCAAATAATTACTACCTTTTTCAAAATTTTGCAGGCTACAGCAGAGAAGCTGTGTGATGTTTGAGCAATGGCAGTGAATGAGGGTACTACTATCTTAAACTCTGCCTACCTGGCCGTGGAATACATAGACTCTTTCTTACCTGACAATCCGTTGCAGCAACCGTTTAAAGATGCTTGGAACTATATGTTGGATAATTATACCGAGTTCCAGATTGCAACCTGGGGATCACTTTTAGTTCATGAAATTTCATACTTTTTGCTCTGTCTACCTGGATTTGTCTTTCAGTTTATACCTTATATGCAAAAGTATAAAATTCAACAGGTAAGACAGATTTATGACTTTCTTTCTCCCCCTCCCCCCCCCCCCCCCCAAGTAAAATTTAAAAATATAATT